CCTGCTCCAGCCCCATCAGTACATCCCCTACCCCCTCCTCATGGTGAGAACCTGCTCCAGCCCCATCAGTACATCCCCTACCCCCTCCTCACGGTGAGAACCCTGCTCCAGCCCCATCAGTACATTTGCTTGTTTGCCCTGCCTATGTCTCCCGTGTTAAACACCTAACAAGAGCGATGGCAGCTCATGCTGTGTGTGCCTGGCTTGGTGCCACACGTGTCTGTCTGCCTCATAGGATGTGAAGTCACAACAAACCTTTGACAGGCAGAATCAGTCCCACTGTAGAGAGGAGGAAACAAACCCAGAAAGTGAACGCAACTCGACGGCAGCTCTGGGGAGGGTAGGTCCCGGGAGGCCCGCTGCTGGAGCCCCAGGTCCGACTCTCAAGTGAGATGTCTGGGGCTGAGGGTGCAGGGAGCCTGGTGTAGTGGCCCAGGGAACTTCCACAGACCTCTGAGCGCCGCTTCACCCCCGGGCCACCCCCAGATATGTTGCAGGCAGCCGTTCTCCTCCCAGATGCCACCCGGGGCCCCAGGCCCAGGTAACACCCTTGTGTCTCACACACACATGCATGCAATGCACACCACACACGCACACACATAGCTTCACCGAATCCACACGGGCTTCCTGCTGGCGCACTGCCTTTTCTCCATAACTGCTGGGATAGGTTTCACACCGCAGGTGCTCCAACAATATTCGTTAGATGAAGGAAGGAATGAAGAAACAAATGAATGGACAGGCAGTGTGACTTCCAGGGCTGCATCAGGAAGGAGCCACTGGGGAGAATTATTTTTGTCATCTAAGAACAGCTAATCTCTCACCCGGTTCCTGTCAGTCCTAGTCTCCTGGCTCCAGAAGCAGGCCCCTGGCTGACCTGGCTGCGACTCACCCCTGGGTGAGAGACCGGGGGGCTGTGCGGGTGGCTCTTCCACGTGCCTGCTGTCCCTGCCCAGCTCCTTGCCCGGGGGCTCACCTGGCAACGACTCTGATGTCAAAGCCGGGCTGGCACCAGGAGTCCATGAGGGCCAGCAGCCTCCTCTGGAGATCCGGGAAGCCATCCACGTAGTGCTCCATGAGGTGCGCCTTGTCCTGGAGGAGCAGTGGGGTGCCCATCTGCGGGGGAGCACAGCCTCAGGCCATAGCCCCACAGGCGCCCGGTACTTCTGCACTGCAGCCTTTGGCCCTGAGCCAGACCCAGACTCACCTCCAGCCCAGAGCAGGAGTGGACAGAGCATCAGAACCCAGAGGGCCCAGAGCCCAGTCTACCCGACCTGCCTCCCTAGGGAGCTCAGAGGTCCAGCTGAGTGTCTGAGCACCTCTGTGAAACCCCAGCTGTGCCCGTGCCCGAGGCCCTGCCTGCACGCACGCGCATGCTCGCACACAGGCACGTGCAGGCCCCACTGCTCCCTGGGCCTCGTCCCGAGGGCTCTGTGGTCATCCCCATCTCCATGACGAAGGACTGGAGGCCCCAAGAAGTAAGGGGGGGTCCTGGGGAAGCTCGGTTGTCTCCTCCTCGTCTTCACTGAGCTGGGCGGTGGGGGGTGTGCAGGATGGAAACCAACCACCGTCAGAGGCCCTGGCGGCCCAGAAGTGCCTCATCGTGGGAAAGTCGGTGTGCCAGCACGTGTGCCTGGCGCACACCCACCAGATCCCCAAGCTGCCCAGCCCTCCAGGAGGTCCTGACGGAGACCCTGACCGTGGCGCTGGGCCTTGGGACTCGCTGGCCATTCCCCCTACCAGAACCAGGCCACGACAAAGCCCCCTCCCAGTGGCCCCTGCAAAAGACCCCTCTTGGCCTCCCTTCTGCTCCCCCACGAGGCCACAAAGGTCAGGCTGCCTGAAGCCCAGACTGGACGGGGGCCCATCCGCCAGGGCAGGCACATTACACAGAAGCCCACTGCTCAGAGGCACTTGCTGGCCCCATCCTGCCCCTCCTCTCAGGCCCTCCCTGCATGGTCAGGTGGCCCCACTCTGTGGGGAGCAAAGCCTAGGGCTCGTAGGTGGGAGACCCCCCTCATCAAACTGTGTTCACGTTGAAACCTAAACAATTTACACGGGAAGACACCTACCTTTTCAACATCTAGTTCTGGCTGCAGCTTCAGCTTTGTGCTCAGCATGGCAGCCTGGCAATCAAAGGGAGTGGGTTATACTGGGCTGGGAGGGACAGGCAGCTCCATGGTGGGGGCTCCCCCTTCTGCACGCACGCCTGGTCACCTCCCAGTCGCTGCAGGCACAGCAATGCAGACCGTCCTGGTCTAGTCGTGTGGCTCCCAGGCCAAGGCGCTTGGATTCCAGAAGCATCCCAGCCGACAAGTCCCCCCTGTACTGAGCCAGGCTCTGTGCCGGGTGGGGCAAGTGAGAATGACACCTGTGCCTTCCCAGGCTGGGGTGTGGCCTGGATGGGCCTCAAGGTGGGTGCTAGGCCCAGGCAGCCCAGGTCAGGGCTGATGAATGAGCAGGGGACCGAGAGGGAGGGGCCTGCATCAGCCACCTACGGAGCCCGGCTCTGGCCCACGCTGCTTTCTCACACCTGCTCTCACCTGCCCCCTTCCTCCCAGACGCACCCCCTCAAGCAAGGGCTCAGCATGGCAGTCATGGTGCCCACGAGAGGGGGTCGGGGCGGGGGGGGCTGCCTCTGTGCACCCTGGAGGCGCGAGGGACTGCAGCAGGGGCTCCTCCCCGCCTCTGAGCACTTTCCTCAAGGGACACTCTCTGTGTCCCCAAACCACTAACAGCACATGGCTGTCTGTCCGCGCAGCGGGCTGGCCCCGGGTCGGAGCGCTGGAGGAGGACGTGGTGAAGCGGGCCACGCACAGAGCTTCCCCTGGGTCCACAGAGCACGAGGCGCAGAGCCCACCGGCTTCCCGGGGCAGCCGCCCGTGGGCTGGGGGAGTGGGCGCGGCTGAGAATCGGACCCCGACCTGGGCCGCCCTCGCCGGGCCCGGGCCCCCCTCCACCCGGCAGACAAACGCCTGCCGCCCTGCGCGCCCGCACGTAGCGCTGCTATTAATAATTTCCATACATCGCGCTCCCATTATGAGCAAAAATAACCGCGGAGCAGCCGGCCGCCCGCTCGCAGAAAGGACGAAAATAGCGGCCTGGGAAAGGCTCGCCCGGCCTCCAGCCCCGGCAGCGCGGGGCGGGGGCGCAGGGCCGGGTCCTTTCCCTGCGCGGCGCTGACCCGGCGCCTCCACAGCCTGGCCCGTGTCCAGGGCTGGCCTCGCCAGGCCCCGCGGGGCCCGGGGGTAGAGGCAGGGGATGGGGGAAGAGCTGGGGCGGGGGATTGGTGCGGGGGAGGGGGAGGGGGAGGTGCAGGGCTGGAGGAGGGGCTGGGGGGCAGGGCCAGGGAGGGGATGGGAAGGGCTGGGGGAAGGGCTAAAGGAGAAGGCATGGGGGGGGAGGCCGAAGGGCCAAAGCGGGGGAGGGGCCGGGACTGTGGGAGGGGGGCAGGTGCCATCATGTGGGGACCTTCCCTGTGGGCTGCTCCAGCCTTACAGGATGGCTCTGACCTCCTCTGGAAGGGAGACCTCCTGAGAAGCTGAGGGAGCACTGCACCCTCACCCAGGAAGACCAGTGTGCACACCCCAGTGGCCTCACATACCAAGTTCAGAACCTGGGGTGGTCAGAAGCCCACTGCCAGTGTCCTGCACCTGCTGTGCTCCCACCTGGCTTCCAGGCTCCTCCAGGGCCAACACCTAGACCTGGGTTTGGACAGGCCAGGCCACAGTTGGAGGAGAAAGGGCTGTGGGACCAATACCTGGGGGCCTGGGATGCTCCCATCCTCCAGGCCAGGCCCTGGGCCAGTGAACGCAGGAGAGGTGAGCCCCCCACCCCATCATCTCTGCTGGGTTATCAGCCTCCATCATCTGGTGGGTGCAGCCCTTAGTGGGCCCCCTACCCATCCAAGAACCCCTCTAAATCCTGGAGTGAGGCCTCAGGCTTGGGGAGGTAGCCTGGGATGGTGGCCTGGGTTGCAGGCAGGGCACTGCCCCTCACAGCAGCAGGAGGAGCTTCTCCTAGAGAGCAGCCTGGAGCCCGTTCACTGCCCACCAGGACTCCCTCCCCTGCGAGGAGCCAGCAACGTCCAAGGGGCCTGCTGTCTGGCCTCAACCCACTCACCTGTTGCCCTGCGGTCAGGGCCCCGGTCAGCAGTGACTATGCAGTGGGCACTCAGTGTCCACTGGCTGTGGAGGGGGTGGGGGGCCAGCGGGGAAGAGCAGGCTGTGCTTGGAGCCTGCATACCCCAGGTGTGCGGCTCAGGCCTCACCTGTGAGGTAGGGTATACACCCTACCCTGCCGCATAATGACGCTGTCAGGAGGGGTTCGAGGCGCATACCACAGCCCTTCTCTCCTCCTCCCTGGTTCCTCCAGCTCAGCCAGCTTTCTGTCCAGGCCCGGCCAGAGCTCTCCGCGCACCCAGGGTGCCCTCTCTTGGCCAGGCGGCCAGTGTGAACGCTGCAGGGGTGTGGCCAGCATGCTTGGGGCTGGAAGGCTACATACACCCCCAGGGACAGTTTGGGAGGCACCCTCATTCTGCACCCACACCCTACACAGAGCCTGGAGGCTGGGCTGAGGGGGTGGGCACAGCACAAGGGGGAGGTGGCTCGGTCTCACCCAGCCGTGGGAGGGCACCTTGGCTCCATCAGGGGCGGCCGTGGTGACCTGGGGGGATGGCTGGCAGCAGACCCAGGAAGCCCCCTGGCCTGGCCTCCACCTTAGGCTCGGGGGCTCCGTGTGGTTCTGTCACTGCCATCAGGCCTAGCTTAGAATCTGTCTCAAGTCATTTCTCAGTCTGAACTTCCGCTGAGGTGACGGCAGGCCAGGCTGCTCACTGCCCACTGCCTGGTCGCATGGGAGGCCCAGCAGGTGTAGGAAGATCAACTGCTGGCTCAGGCGCCTGTGACTGGCCCCAGAAAAGGGGGACCCCACAGAAGGAAACTGCCCAGGGCTGGACCCACTTGGCTCCTGGTGGGCCTTCCTGACCTCCTCACAGGAGGATGAGAGCCAGCCACTCAGAAGAGAGATGCCAGGCTGCAACCCAGAGGGGCTGGGCGGTGACCGCAGAACAGCATTCCACGGCACCCCTGGGCTGCCTGCTCCACCAGGCAGGAGGGCTGGGCAGGTGCCCAGGCCACCAAGCCCAGACTCGGACCCTGGGATGGGCCTGCCTCCCACCTCCACGGCTCCGTGCGGGCCTGGAGCCAAGGGGCCTTTTTTTTTTTTTTTAAAGCAAAGCTATCTTTTTACCTTGATAAGCTGTTTAAAAAATGTAAATAAAATAACGCAGCAGACAAAAGCGGGCATTCATCTGCCAGAGTCAGCCGCCGCCCTGGACATGAAATATCGCAGCGCATTAAGTCGTGCGTCCCTGCTAATCCGAGCGGACAGGCCTGAACGCGGCCCCTCTCGGCCGGGTGCAGCGGTGGGCACTGGAGCGTGCACCGCCTGCCGGGCGGCCCGGCTCCGGGACAATGGCTTTTCTTCGAAGAAGGGGCCTGTACGGGACAAGAGCCCCCTTTGTGCTGGGATCCCTGCCTTGGAGCGCGAGGGAGGCGCATTCAGCCGGCCCCAGACACGTTCTGAAAGGCTGAGTGTAACAGAAGACGGCCGAAACACTAGCCTGCCTTCTGCTTCCCTGCATTCTTCGCAGGCACAGCCGCCCATTCAGGCCGCGGAGAATGGCCTCGCGCCACCTGAGCGGGAGCTGGGTCCCGCATTGTTCCTGACGTGGCCATCTTGGTTTCTCAGCGCCACTCCCCAGCCGGGAGACGAAGGCCTGGGCTGGGCGTGTCAGGCAACGACGCCACGGCGGAGCCCATGCCAACACACAGTGCACACCTCCTTGGGATGGGCAGTCCAGGCGGTCTGGGTGAGGCCGAGGCGACCCCACTGCCTAAATTCCCAAGAGCCTCCTCACCAGGACAGGTCCCTCGGGAAGAGGCCCCCACGTGGGGTGGGCCTGGATCCTGCCCCAGTGCCCGCCGTGCCCCCCAGCAGCAGTGGGTGTGGGGATAGTGCCCACAAGCAGCACTGACCCTGAATTAGGTTCGTCTTTGGGCAGACGAGGCCGTGGGGGTGGTGGTGAGCCAGGAGAGAGTCTCTGGATCTCCTGGAATGGTAGACTCCTCCCTCAGTGAGACTGTACCCCCGAATGGGGCACCCCAGCATTCCCCACCTCTCCTGCTCCAACTGCCTTGGGGGCTCCCCCGCCCCTGCAGCAACAGCTCAGAGCCACCTCACATGGGCCCACCTCCTCCCTGCCTGAGCACCGCAGGCCCCACCGCTCCCTACTGCCTCATGCAGACCCAAGTCACTCCTGGGGCTCCCGGCTAGACTTGGGGATGCCTGAGTCTGTGACTTCAGGGCTCTGGCTTCCTCTCAAAACCTTCTGGGCTTACATGTAGGCAGCACTGCTCACAAAGGAGACTCAAGGAACCTGCCAAGATTCCAAAAGCCCCACAATTCCTACCCAGAGACTCCTGGTTTACACATTCGGCCTTTCTGACCCAGCCCCCCAACGACAAGGGACCGAAACGACCTCTCCCTTGGGCAGCCCCACACCCAAATGCATCGCACACACTGAGTGACTCTCGACTGACATGCCCCAAAGTGCCCCACGCTGAACTTCAGCAAAAACACGAGCGCCGTGCTAAGGGGCTGGTCTCAGGATCACTGGTGTGGGTGGGATGGGGGTCCTGCCTGAGCCTGGTGACGGTCAGGAGCCAACAGGACCCTTGGGGAGTCAGATCCTCACAGGGTCTCCACTGCTGGCCTGACCTGGTCCAAGTGAACCCGCAGACAAGCAGGAGAGGACACCAGCCAGAGCATCCCCTTCGGTCCAGGGCAGGGCCCCACGACCGGTCCAGGGAGGTGGCAGGCACAGCGCCCAGGGCTCTCCAGGGGGCTGTTCCTGCAGACGCCTGGACACACACTCTGCTACTGCTGGACTGCTGTTGGAACAGTAGCAAAGTGGCCAGTGCCCCAGCCTAGTGTAGCCGCGGCTGCAAGCCCCCCACGAGGAGCCGCAGTGCAGATTCTGTTCTCAAGGAGCATTGGCTGGGCCCAGAGAGGTCTCGGCTCCCCGCCCCAGGCCATGCCAACATGGAGGCCGAGTGACCCTAGAGATGGGCCTGGGCAGAGGCAGCAGCAGGGAGAAGGGGCCCCCAACCTGCAGGTGACCAGCTGTGAGAGACTCTGGGCCAGGGCTGAGGTGTGGGTGGTCCAGCTGTCTGATCTGGGCCTGTGGGGTGGCAGATGTGGCCAGAGGAACCATCGTTAGCTTTCCCCTACCCCGGCTCCACTTAGCTCCCCATGAGTGTTTACAGGATTTAATGAAGTGGCTTGCACGTGGGCTTCCAGGCCAGAGCTGGGGCATCTCGGCACTACTGAGCACACATGGGAGTCCAGTGGTCATCTCAGGAGGAAGGACTCTGGCCATGGCAGTATGGACCCGGGCCCGGCGTGGTGGGCCGCTCCTGGCCTCTGTCTCGGTTCAGTCAGTGTGAGGGGCTCCCAGGACCCTGATGCACTGCACGGCCCTGAGCTGGGCCCCCAGGTGGGCTGGTCGTCAAAACCCTCTGCACCAGACTTGAAGCCCCCCGTGCACCCACTCACAGTGGAGGGGTGGAGAGGTGGACCCCATAAGCCCCCTCAGCCTGGCTCTCACTCTCCCCGCTGGGACCCTGCCCACGGCCCAGGGTGAGAAGGAGTATCCCTGCCTCTGCGTCCCTCTTCCTTGGGCCCAGGACCACGGAGAAAGTCACACTCACTTCTTTGAACTTGCCCTCCTGGTGGAGCTGGTGGACACGAGCCAGCAGGGGGCTTCGGTCTGCATCCTGCAGCTGGAAGATACTGACCAGCGGCCCCACGAGACTTGGGGGGCTCTCGGCGAGGACCCTAACTGCACGGGCCTGCAGCTGCTTCAGCCCCGGGCTGCACTGGAAGACCCCAGACCTGGCCTCAGCTGGAGGTAGCATCCTGCAGCCAGGGTCATGGGGCCTGACATGGGCAGGGGCCTGGTGCCGGGGCAGGCCTGGCCCTGGAAGTTCAGCACCAGCAGCCCTGCACCCATGGGTGGACGTTCAGGGCAGGCAAGGCCTGGAGGGCAGGGCACCGGCGAGGGAGCTGTGTGGCTGTGGGGAGGCTGAGAGTCAAGCCCACAGGCCAGCCCTAAGGCCAACTGCCCCGCCCACACCCACTGTGGGCAAGCTTCGCAGGCTGCAGAGGCCTGGTCAGGCAGGCGTGGAGCCCACTATGCCGAGAGGGATGGACAGGGCGGGAAGGGACGTGTCTTTGGAACGTGACCTGTGGGGCCTCAGGAGGGGCTCACCTGGGCCGGCCCCTGGTGTGGCTGTGCCTGCAGCCAGCGCTGCAGCTCACAGGTGACCCAGGCCTCTAGGGAGGGGCCCTTCCCCTGCCAGCCCCGGCTGCCCTCCAGCATGTCCAGGAGTCCAGCGCGCGGGTCGTCCAGGGCAGCAAACCGCCGCCAGGCTTCCTCCCGGAGCTGCTGTGGAGACACAAAACCTCATTGTCGCTTTGTCACGCTCAAACCCTCTGGCAGGCCCTCCCCTGCCCACACGAAGACGTCTGAAGTGCAGTCTATTCAGAGAGGGGACTCTTGCTATTCAGCACCACCCTCGCCTCCACGACTTTTCATGCCACGAGATTCTGTTCTGGTCCACTGCACCCCAGGCCCCGGGTGGCGGTCATTGTCCCCACTAATGGTCCCATTAAGACAGAGGGCTTGTTCCCCAGGCCAGGCTCCGTTCAAGAGGCTCCTGTCACTTATCTGTGCCCCAATCACCTGTGCAGCACGCACAGGACACAGCGCTGGCCCTTCGGTGACGGTGACAGCGGGGCCAGCAAGCAATGGGAAACAGAAAAAAGAAAAACCCAAAGTGAGAGACGCCCTGTGTTTACTTTTCCGCCTCCTGCGCTGCAGAAGATCAGAGGCATGTAAGACCTGGGAGAAGAAACACTGACAGCACGTGTGTTCTCTACCTTCCACGTCTCGGGGGGACGATGGTGTGTTTCACGACAGACTTTAAAGCAAGCTGGTGTCCTCCACATGACCACGGGGCCTGGTCCCTGGTGCCCTGGCCAGCCCCGGCTACACGCCGCCTGCCTCAATCATTCAGGTCAGTGCAAGACCCTGCAACCAAGGATCTGCCTGGGCCACAGTGACTTCTCCGGGGTCCACCCCCAAGGCCGTGAGCCTGGGACACAGCGGCAGCACTCGCACCTCACCCTGACACCCGAGGCCACCCTGTAAGGAGCAAGGAGATGAGGCCCCCCTGCCCCTTGCTGTGGCTGTGGGAAACTGCTGGACAGACCAAGAAGAGCCTCAAACGCTGCAACACTGTCACCCTTCGGGACAGGCGAACAGAGGCCACAGCACAGAAGCCCCCGGGGCCTAGGGGGCACCGAGCAGGGGCCGTGGTTTCCACGGAGCCCTGGGGCCACCTTCCCCATCTCCAGGGGAGGGGGTGGCGTCTGCACCAGCCACCTCAACACCCCACAGGAAGGCGTGAAGAAAGACAGCTGAGTCTAAATAACTGCCACCTTCTGGTTCATGGAAAGAAAAGATCTAGAAAGACCTGCTCGGGTCTTTGGTCCTAGTTTATTCAGTTACAGTTCTCATCCACGGCCTCTAGCAAAGCAGCTCTGAGAGGCTCAAAGAGCAAGCAGGAGAGGCTGTGTGATTGGGACGAGTGGCTCCTAGCTACGAGGAGCCAGTTCTTCCGCTGGAAAGGTGGCTCAGGTAAACACCATATCTCCTTTCTCCCAGGGCAGTTCCTGCAGTGGGCCTGGGGCCAGAGCATGGCCGAGCCCTCCACCACCAGCAGGCAGAGGGTGTGGGGCTGGCCGCTGGCCTGGGCAGGGAGCTGGAGGAAGAGCCCCTGCCCAAGAAAGAGCTCCCAGCTCTAGACCAGGTGCCCACTGACAAGTGGCCACAAAAAAGAAGGTTTTTCCAAAGGAGCCACTATCCTTCTTGTGGCCAGGGTGATGGGCAGCCAGGTCTGGGTGCACTGCAGGAAGGAAGGATGCCAGAGAAGATCCCACGAGGCCACACAGACCCCTTCCCAGTGGGGTGGCTGCTGAAGCCCCCAGACCCACTCCACGTAGATGGGCAGAGCTGCAGGCCAGCCACTCACGACAGTGGGAATCTCCTGTGGCGGCCAACAGAAGCCCTGGAAAGGATCAGGGGAGCAAGTGGGCATGTCCTTCTGAGATGACTGCTGCCCACTGACAGCTTGGCTGGGCCGAGGGCTCCACCCTCTGCACCTGGTGGCCAGCTCTGCCCCCTCCCCTGAGAAGGCTCAAGAGGACATACACTGCAGCGCTGAAGGCCGTCAGCTTTCGGGGCTCCCAGGAAGCTGGACGTGCACCCCAGCTTGCATCTGGGAATGCCAGTGGGAGCCCCTCTGTGGCCCAGCCTGCAAAGTGCAGGGGGTCTTGCCCCCACGCAGCCAAGCCTTGCCCCCTCCTGCTGCTGGGAGCATCTTGACCCATGGCCCAAAACGCTCAGAGCAAAGACAGCCCAGGGAGTGGAGTGATGCTGCTCCAACGTCCTGAGCAGGGTGGCCCTGCACCGTCCCCGGGACCACCATGGGGGGCTGCTCACCCAGCCCAGGTGCCAAAGCAGGGGCAGCCCTCAGGAGCCACACCCCACGGGTTCCGCAGGCCTGGCTCATAGCTGCGTCAACATCAAGGGCCCAGGCACTGCCTGCCTCTGCTCCAGTGTCTTCTCCAGAGAGGAGCCCTCCTAGCAGCTCCTGAGTGACCCTTAGGGTCCCACTGACCAAGCCTGGGTCACAGGTTCTCCCCCTGCAGTGACTGAGTAGCCGTGGAGGGTGTCTGCTCTCGGCCTTGTGGCCCTTCTCACCTCTCTGCCCTCTGAGAGCTGCCAGGACCCAGGTGAGCCTGGGACTCTCACTTGGGAAAGCGTCTCTGCGGTCTGCAGCGCTGGGTGTCCCCCGTGTTCCAACTGTGCATGCCTTCCCCACACCAGTGCCTCCACTGTGCTCAGACAGCAGCAAGCAGCTCATGGCCAGGGGCTCCCCGCAGGGCAGTAGGCAGGCAGCAGGTCGTGGGCCGTGGTCCGTGCCCAGCGCATGGATGATGCTTCCCTGGGACGCTCTGAGACCACACGTGCGCTCAGGCTCAGCGTGACGGGGAAGCTGCTGCACGCGGGCAGTTCATCATACTTGCCAGAAATGAGACTCAGACGCTCCCCTCAGGCACCTGGGGAACTCAGGAGGCCTGGCGACTCTCTCTCCAGACACCCAGGGAAGGAAGTGGGATCTGCAAGGAACGAGGCGGCGGGTGCGAGGGAGCCAGGGCTGCCGGGAGGCGCCGATGCCCACATGAGCAGGAGACCAGCCTGGGGAGTGGGACCTTCCAAGGGGCACCCGTCGGGGAAGGGTGACTGCTGGCGTGTCCGTTGGCCTGGACTCCAGCGGGGAAGGGAAGGCCGCTCCTGAGCACGGGCCTGCATGCCACACAGATCTGGATTTACTGACACGTGTGGTCCAGGAAGTTAGTCCTGGTGACACCCCGGGGAACTGGCACTGGCTCTGTACTCTCAGCAGCGACGCTCAGGCCCTCGGCTGCCGGGGAGAAGCTTCGCTCCCATGAGCTCACAGTAAAAAATCAGACACAGGAGGAACCGTCACCACAGGCAGGACGACTATCGCCCTAAGATTAGGGGTAAGAGGACATCAATTTGGGAACAAAAATGGAAAATAAGTATCTCTAGAATTATGACAGAAGTGAAAGAATAAACACAACTAAGAGAGAACATGGCATGGTGGCCCTGAGTAGGTGCTGGGCCCTCCTGCAGCCCCATGCAGGCCAGGGTCCTTCCTGCCCCTCCCGCCCCTGCAGCCCTGGGGGACCTCACGCACCAGGCTCAGCACCCACTGGTCACTGGCCGCCTGACCCCTCAGGTCCCAGCCCCTTGTCACCCTCTCTCACGCTGCTCCCGTGTTTGGCCCATGGTCTCAATGTCCTTGTCGATGATCCTTCGGACCCATGGCTCTGAGACCCTGGCCTACCTTCTCCCTCCCTCCTGCCCTCTGATCTCTCCTCCATCTCCCACCTCCCACCTGGCTGGGCCTCTGGTCATCACCCTCTTGCGTCTTTAGTGCCCTCATTCCTGGCTCACGCTCCAGAGGTGAAGTCGCTGCCCCCCCAGCGCCTGCCCACCCCTGACTTCGGTGGGCTCAGTGCTACCAAAATCATCCCACGTGGTCCTCAGGCTTGAGCGGCACCAGAGCCCCAGAGGGCCTGTTAAAACGCCCTGGTTCTGATACGGCAGGGCTGGGTGCATCCCAGAACCAGCATTTCCAATGAGCTCCCAAGGAATGCGCCGCTCTGGGCCTCACTTCGGGGAGCACTGTCCTTCCCACTGATGCGCCCCTCCTCCACCTCCCATTTTTCCGCCGTCCCCACTCAGCGGGCCCCCTCTGTCCTGGTTACTCCCATCAGCATCAAAACCTGCTGCTTCTGCTCCCATCTTAAAGGAAGAACCACAGCCTCTACCCCACTCCCCACACCATCCCATTTCTTTCCTCCTTGTATCAACACCCCCCAAAAAGTTCCCCAAACCCAGTCCCCAGTTTCCCTGTCCTGTCCTGCTGGGGTCCCCGCAACCCCCACATGCACTGCTGGCCTTCAGGACTCACTGCTCTCGCACAGCCAGCCCTCCTCGGCCTGCAGGACGTCCTGGGCCATCTGCACCCTCGTCCTCAGGGCTTTGGCCACATGCAGGTCTCCAGCCGCCTGAACCCTGAGCCCAGGCCAGAGCCCACATCCCTCAACACCCTGCACCTCGCGGGCCCTTACCCTCCACACGCTCTGAGCATGTCCCACATGCCTCCCCACCACCTCACAGTCACTGCAGGGAGCCCCCACCCCAGTTCCGCCCCCTGGGGTACTGGACACCGGGCAGCGTGGTGCTCGTCCACTCACTGGAACCCAGGTCCAGCTCTAGTGAGTGAACCGTGAGCGGAGATGACATGTATCACCTCCGGGCGGAAGCTCTGAGAGCCAGTCACCAAGTAGGGAGCTCGCTGCCCAGGGGTGCTCGGAACATTTGTACAAACCGACCACGGAGCACGCCTCTCGTGCACCGAAACTAAAACTCACAGACGGCGCTCCACCACAGCTAGAAACAAGGAACATAGAGGTGTCAAGACACACCTGTGTGCTTGTTTGGAAACGAACAACACGTCATTCAAAGGAGACACCACAACGAGCCTCGGAAAACAGGCAGAAAGGAGGACAACGGAAACGGTGAGGAGCAGAATTGAGGGGGAAACTGGTGCACCAGAGAAGAGGAGGCTGGAAGCAGGCGACTGGGCGGGAGCAGGACACTGGGAAATAACAGTGCATCGACTGCAGGGAGCGGCAGAGGGCTTCAAAGACAAGGGCGGAAGTTAAGGGGCTAGAACAAGGACCGCGGGGCCCACCACCGGCCCAGAGGAAGAGCAGAGTGAAGGGGGGCAGCACAGCGGGAGCTGGAGGCGTGCGTTCCGCGTCTGAGTCTCGAGAACATGAAGAACCCGGCCAACCATCGTGGTGATGCAGGTGACACAGAGCTTGCTAGAGAAATAAAATGAGGAGTGGAAACTCTGCATGGGCCGCGACCCTTGAGGAAATCGGGTCTTTAGTTAGATATTAACCCCCCCGAACCCCCCCGACCCCAGCCCAGGCAGAACCGCAAGCGCGCCCTTCCAGACTCCCACAGAACGAGCAATCCCTGTCTTCAATCAGTGCTCTGGAGGACAAGGAATGAAGGGCTCCCCAGCCCCATTTATGAGGTCAGTTCACCTCGACACTAGGACAGACAAAAACGCACAAAACCACGCAGACAGGGGCCAGGCAAGGCCGCCCAGACATGCGGGACATTCCCACAACATGGTCACGTTTCCCAAGTCAGAACCTCAAGGCCAGAGGTATAAACTTTAAAAAATTAAAGAGTTTTTAGCTTTTGCAAAAACTCTGGGTTTATCTGGCTGATGGCGAGAGTGACTGGCTGCTCGGAGGCCCAAGTGCATGCCGTCGGGAGGCGGCTAACTGACCAACGCCACGCAGCTCAGACACGTGAGGAGAGAAGGGGCGACCCCAGAAGTCTGGCTGACCTTGCCCAGGTGCTGGCCCCTCCTGCGCCGTGAAGCAGCGTGGGAGCCAGACACCGTCCTGCGAGCTGTGGCTCGGCTCGTCTCCCCTCGGCCTCTGGAGCCCGCGGACACCACCGCCCCGCGAGCCCGCGGCACTCTCCTGAATCTCGCTGGCACTGGATGCCTGCCCAGGTCTGGGTACGCTGCCCACCCTTCAGCCGGCACGAGAGGGTGAGGCCCTGTCCCTCAAGCCACTCGTGGGCCCTGTGGCCCGAGCAGCAGTGACTTCTGTGTCCTCCCTGTGAGCCAGGGCAACCTCACCCTTCTGCTGCCTCAGGGAGCAAACTGCAGGGCAGGAGCAGCCGCGGGTCAGGCAGAGCCTTCACCATCACAGTGGGATGTGGTCCAGAGGGCAGCGGCTGCTACTGCAGAACCCTGCCAGACCACACACGTCCCCCAATGGCCAGAGGAGCTGTCTGGCTGCCTTCCCTGGGAGAGGCAGCTGTGAACAAGGCCTGAGGCAGGCCAGCAGGTGCCCCGGCCCACACAGCGCACACCCAGCCACGGCCCGCCAGGCCCCTGTGCTGCACAGGAGCTGGGTGGTGGCCACAGGCCCTCCCTCCCGCTCTGAGCCTCAGGGGCCTGTGTCCACCAGCGTCTGGCAGGCCTCGCCCCAGGGCTCCAACCCCGACGTGTCTGCCAGAACATTTGGACAGGACGGCCCTCTGAGGCCAGTAGCCAGGTGTCCATGTCCCCACGTGCTCACCTGCTGCAGCTCCCACGTAGACCACAGCGGCTGCAGGGCCTGCAGGAACAGAAGTGGGTCCTGGCCTGGGGGGACAAGACAAGGGCCATGGGAGGGGCTGTGCAGCCACTGCAGAGCCCTCTGACCCCCCTCCACCAATGCTGGGGCTCCCCGCAGATGCTGCCAGCGCCCACGGCCTCTCATGCCCTCTGGCCAGAGCTCCCCACTGCCACTTCCCCGAGACCTGGCCATCCAGCATTGCTGAGCCCGTCCTGTGGCTCATGCTTCAGCCATGATGGGCTGCAGGTCTCAGAAGATCCAAGCTGTGTGAGCAGCAAAGGGGTGTCGGACACCAGGGCCAAGCCCACAGCGCTGCCCAGGCCCCGAACAGGCCAGCTGAGCCTGTCAGGGCATGCCCAGCAGAGTGTGGCACCCCCGCCCCTCTGCACCATGTCACAGCCCACCCTCATCCACTGCCCACCATATCTTGCCTCCAGCCTCTACTGAAGCCCCAAAGTGGTCCCAGCCTCTGCCTCACCCTGTCCCCCTCCCTGGTTCCTCCTGTACCCCACACAGGCTGGCCACTCCCCAAAGCTTTCCCCACCAACTCCTCCCTGCAGCCCCCACCCACAAGCCCTGATCCTCTCTTGCTCACCCAAGCCCCCACCCCCGCTGCAGAACTGGGCACGGAGACCACAAAGTGGGCGCTCACCTAGCCCAGTGCTGGCCAGGGCAGGGACTCTGCAGGGACACCCGACCCACACTCGGGAGGTCGGGGTCACCCTCACACTGGAAAAGGGACGGTGCCTTCAGACCAGTGTCTGAGGTCAATGTGAAGGAAGGCATTGGCTGGCCTGGAAAGGTCACCACTGCTTGCTCTGGGCTTTGAAAAAGAAAGACACATCTGAGACCACGGGCCCAGGGACCCAGCTCTGAGTTACCTAAGGCCACCAGGCACCCCCTCCCCTCAGAAGGCCCACCCCTGCACCTCCTGCCCTCCATGCCCTCCAGGTGGGGCTCCTCTGCAGCCATACCTGGCTTCCCACTGCCTCACTGTGGCCCCCCCCAGCAGCACCTCCTGGCCCCCATCCACCATAAAGGCCCAGTGCTGCACAGACCCTGGCCCCACATCACTGTGCAAGTTCTGCTGAAACGCCAAGTTGCTGTCCAACTCTAAGCCTTTCCAGCCCCACTGAGAAACTCAAGAATGCAGGACGTAGAGGAAAGTCCAGATAAACCTCTTGTTCTTTTGTCAAGAACCATCAGGGGTCATGCAGCCCGGAGCCTGGGGAGGACAGGAGGGTAGGCAGCCAAGGGAGGCTGGGCTCCTGGCGTGCCCGTACCCAGCCAAGGGAATGGAGAGAAGCCCCTGGCACCTACCTCTGACCCCAGCCACACCCCCTCACATGGTGGGGGTTGGGGTCAGGGGTCAGAGTCAGGACCTGACTGTGAACCCACACGTTGGGGGAGGGGGGGTCACTAACAGACTGTCCAGGTGAAATCTGGGGGATCAGGAGCCCAGTGGCTTCATCAACAAATCTACCCAGGAATCAAGCAGATGGCGGCAACCTGCCGGGCTCCTACAGAAGACCGGACATGGAGAGGAAGGCCCACAGCGGGGACACCTGAACCAAGCCCTGGAGGACAGCCCAGCAGGACTGACACGGCGACTCAGACGGGACAGTAGCAGTCAGACTCCCCGACGTAGGCCAAGGAGGCTGAGTGCAATGCCGGTGCATTCCAGAAGCCAAGGCTGACTGAGCAACCAAAAGCCTATAGTGTGGCTCATCGATGATAGGTAGGAGAAAAATCGTACCATCCTCTCGGTAGATGCAGAACAAGCAGTTCATAAAAGGGAATTCTATTCATGATTTAAAAAATAACTCTGCAAACTAGGAATAGAGGGAACTTCCTAACCAGGCAAAATGTGTCTGTAAAAAAACTCTCAGCAGGGCCTGGCCCGTGGCATAGTGGTTAAGTGCGTGCACTCCGCTGCTGGTGGCCCGGGTTCGGATCCCAGGCGCGCATCAACCCACTGCTTGTCAGGCCATGCTGTGGCAGCATCCCACATAAAGTGGACAAAGACGGGCACGGATGTTAGCCCAGGGCCAGTCTTCCTCAGCAAAAAAAAGAGGAAGATTGGCAGATGTTAGCTCAGGGCTGATCTTCCTCACAAAAAAAAAAAAAACTCTCAGCAGAAGGAGCTGGAAATACAAGTGAATGAAGTCAACAGATCTCCTAAATATATCAACATAAAGAGACCCTCTCCAAGACATATAGTAGTAAAGCTGGCAAAAGTCAATGACAAAGATAAAATATTAAGGGCAGCAAGACAAAAAGAAAAGACGTACAAAGGACTCCCAATCAGGCTTGCAGCCAATATCCTGGCAGAAACTCTACAACCTAGGAGAGATTGGAATGATATATTCAAAATTCTGAAAGACAAAAACTTTCAGCCAAGAATACTCTATCTAGTAAAAATATCCTTCAGATATGATGGAAAAATAATAACCATCCTAGGTAAACAAAAGCTAAGGGAGTTCATTGCCACAAGACCCCCACTACAAGAAATGCTCAAGAAGGCCTGAGGAAAAAAGAGAAAGACGATACAAAGCTTTGAACAAGGAGAAAAATAGGTAGGCAAAACCAGAAAAATTGCAGCTCTCTATCAGAATAGGTTAGCAAACACTTAATTATAACATCAAAGATTAAGGGAAGGAAAACACCAAAAATAAATATAACCCCATAACTTTAAACACAAACTCACAACACAAGATGGAATAAATTGTGACAATAATAACTTAGAAGGTGAAGAAAAAAGGGATGAAATTGACTTAGTCTAAGGAAAGGAGAGGCCATCAGAAAATGGACTATCTCATCTATGAGATTTTTTATACAAACTTCACGGTAACCAGTAAACAAATAAACAGAAAAGAGACACATACGATAAATAAAAAGAAAGCTAAGAAAACCATCATACGGAACTACCAAATTGAATTGGTAGTCTGAAACACATGGGACAAGAAACAAAGCAAATGCAAAAGAACTGGAAAATGGGCGATAAAGTAGCAACATTAAGCCCTCATATATCAATACTCACTCTAAATGTAAATGGATTGAATTCTCCAATCAAAAGACAGAGAGTGGTGGGATGGATTAAAAAACAAGATTCAACAATATGCTGCCTCCAGGAAACACATCTCAGCTCTAAACACAAACACAGGCTTGGAGTGAAGGGATAGAAGACAATACTCCAAGCTAATGGCAATCAAAAGAAAGCAGGTGTTGCCATACTTATATCAGACAAAGTCAACTTCAAGATAAAACAGGTAATGAGAGACAAAGAGGGGCAGTATATAATGATAAAAGGGACACCCCACCAAGAAGATATATCACTTATAAATATATATGCACCCAACACAGGAGCACCAAAGTACATAAAGCAACTATTAACAAACCTAAAAGGAGATATCAACAACAACACAATAATAGTAGGGGACCTTAACACCCCACTTACATCAATGGACAGATCATCCAGACAGAAAGTCAATAAGGAAATAGTGGACTTAAACGAAAAACTAGACGAGATGGACTTAATAGATATATATAGAGCACTCCATCCAAAAACAGCAGATTACGCATTCTTCTCAAGTGTGCATGGAACATTCTCAAGAATAGATCATATTCTGGGAAACAAGGCATGTCTCTATAAATTTAAGAAGATTAAAATCATAACAAGCATCTTTTCCAACCATAATGTCATGAAGCTAGAAATCAACTACAAGAAAAAAACCAGGAAAGTGACAAAGATCTGGAGACTAAATAACATGCTACTGAGCAACCAATGGATCAGTGAAGAAATTAAAGGAGAAATCAAAGAATATCTGGCGACAAATGAAAATGAAAATACACCATAGCAATTCATATGGGATGCAGCAAAAGCGGTCCTGAGAGGGAAACTCATAGCAATAATAGGCCCACTTTAACAAACAAGAAAAATCCCAAATAACCAACCTTTAACTACACCTAACAGAATTAGAAAAAGAAGAACAAACAAATTCCAAAGTCACCAGAAGGAGGGAAATAATAAAAATTAGAGCAGAAATAAATGAATGAAACAAACAAACAAAAAAAACAGTAGAAAGGATCAATGAAACTAAGAGCTGGTTCTTTGAGAAGATAAACAAAATTGACAAACACTTAGCCAGACTCACTAAGAAAAAACGAGGGAAGCCTCAAATAAATAAAATTAGAAATGAAAGAGGAGAAATTACAAAGGACACCACAGAAATACAAAAGATTATAAGAGAATACTATGAACAGCTATATGCCAACAAACTAGACAATGTAGAAGAAATGGATAAATTCTTACACTCATACAACCTCCCAAAACTGAATCAAGAAGAAATAGAGAATCTGAACAGACCAATCACAAGTAAAGAGATTGAAACAGTAATCAAAAACCTCCCAAAAAATAAAAAGTCCAGGACAAGATGGCTTCTCTGGAGAATTTTACCAAACATGCAAAGAAGATTTAATACCTATGCTTCTCAAATTATTTCAAAAAATAAAGGAAGATGCAACCCTTCCTAACACATTCTATGAGGCCAACATCACCCTGATACCAAAGCCAGACAAGGACAATACAAAGAAGGAAAATTACAGGAAAATTCTCTATAGCCAAGAAGTGGAAGCAACCCAAGTGTCCATCAAGTGATGAGTGGATAAAGAAGATGTGGTGTATATATATACCATGGAATACTACTCAGCCATAAAAAAAGACAAAATTTTCCCATTCACAACACCATGGATGGACTGGAGGGTATTATGTTAAGCGAAATAAGCCAGACAGAGAAAGACAAATACTGCATAATTTCACGCATATGTGGAAGATAAACTAACACACAGAAAGAACAGAAAGACAGTTTGGTGGTTACCGGGGGAAGGGGGTTGGGGGGTGGGCACAAGGGGTGAAGGGATGCATTTATATGGTGATTGACAAACAATAATGTACAACTCAAAGTTCACAATGTTGTACACTATTATGACATCAAAAGAAAAAACCTCAGCAAACTTCACGCTGACA